TGCGGGTCGCGTCGGGGCGGCGGCTGTGGAGACCGGGCTGGCCCTGCCGCCGGCGGGCGCCGGGCTCGGGAGCCGGGGGCGTCTGTGTGGGGCCGCTCGCCGCCCGTCAGCCTTTAGGTTCGCCTGTGGGGTTAGTGTCGAGCCTGAGGACCACGACGTCGCCGAGTGAGCTGAAGGGGAGCCGTCCTCGGCTCGGGATGACCGGTGACAGTATCCCAGAGTAAGCAGCGGAGCCAGCTCTCTAGGCTCGCGTTTTAGTGGTGGCTTCCTGGCGAGGGTGTCTTTAGGGCCTGGAGAGCTGTCTCCACCCAGAGCCTTCAGTGGCCTTTTTTTTTTTCAGATGGAGACTGGGTGTCCTGCCCTGCTGTGTCTTGGGGTGATTTTCCACGTCCTAAAAAGATAGAAGCGCCTAAAAATGAAAAACCGGGCCCTCAGTGATTGAGGCTTGACCTGTGGGACCCCTGATGCGTGCTGGGGTGACTGTTGTATGGGCACAGTGTGCAAAGGCCGAGCGGGGATCCGTGACAGTCACACCCGCCGGAGGAGGAGCCCGGGGTGGGCCGAGGGAGGACCTGCTGGCGCCCAGGGAGGGACAGCGGGGAGACGGAGCGCCTCTGCCGGTTCCGTGGTAGGGCCGCTGGCTCGCGAGGGAGGAGTGAGCTCTCGCGCAAGCAGAGAGGTTTCCCTACGGTGTCTGGCCTGGTACCCACGCTGTCTGCCCGGAGTGGTTTTCTCTTGCTGCTTTGCTGTCTTTATGACTGAACGTAAAGCAGTTACACTCGGCAGATACCCATCGGCCGTCTGCCTGCTCACCTAGCCTGCGCTTTAAGGTGGTAAGGCCGGGCCGGGAGCCAGACAAGGGCCCTCCTTAAGGAGCTTGTATTCCAGCAGAAGGAAATTGAGGAGAAATGCAGGAAAGTATCAGAAAATGATTGTCACACAAACTGAAAACAGGGTGATGTGACAGTAGGGCTGGTGTCAGTGTGGGCAGCAATGGAGGGCCTCCCGGAGGAGGGAGAGGTTTGGAGGTAGACAGCTGGTGAGAGGGCTGCCCTAGTGCAGAATAAGTCTGATGTGCATAATGGGCCAGCGCACACACAAACTGAGCTGAGCACTACACCATCAGACCGTATCAACCTTGTATCAAGTAAGATTAGAAGTACAGCGACTTAGCTCATGTCGACCAGTAGGAAGCAGGTCAGTGCGCCTCCAGCCACAGTTCTGTTGTCTTTTTGTGTAGACTTCCTCAGGGACCCAGCCCTTCTTGGACCATCCATACCTTAATTTCGGTCTAACTTAGCTATCTGTGATGTTGTGCCAGGCTCTGCAGGCCCACCATGGGATGCTGTCTGCTCTTCAAAAGTCTGAGGAAGGCACTGATGTGCAGTTGTCCCCTGGCCCAGATCAGAACCCCATTGTTTCATGGCCGCTGTTAGAGAGCTCAGCTCAGATCCATAGCCAGTGTAGAACCAGTGTCTAAAGCAGGTGGTCGGACTCCGAAGGTCGCTCGCTTGCCTGCTTACTTACTAGCTTGCTCTTCCTGTCTTTCTCTCTTTTTGAGACAGGCTCTTGCTATTCAGCTCAGGCTGGCCTTGAACTCACTTTGTAGCCTAGGATGGCCCCAAATGCCCAGGGATCCTCCTGCCTCAGCTTCCTGAGTGCTGGGGTTACAGATGTGTGCCCGCACACCCAGCTAAAGTTTGCTTTCTTAATCTTGCTTTGATGTGTCTTGTGTTACTGGTGCTGTTTTCACATGGATGCACGGCTAGTGCCCGCTTACGGGTTTCCTACACATCAGTCTGGAATTTTAATAGCACAGCTTAGACTCTTCGATGGGGACCAAGTACTCTCTTTTGATACTGCTTTTGTCATCTCAGTTCAAGTGAGAGTGTTTCAGTGCTAACACTAGTCAAAGTAGGACTTTGCAAGCATGGTAGTATGAGGACCGAGACTGGAGTAGCTTCTGCTGAGGGTGCTTCACCCTGAGCGGGTTGGCCTTCCTCGTTGGTGATGCTAGTGTAGCCTGTATTGAAACGCGGGATCCCCAGTGATCTGGGGAAGGCCCCTCCTGGAGGGTGGAGGATCTGGAGCCACCACCGCTGCGCTCCTGGGTGGGCGGTGCCTGAGCACTGTGCTGTGGAGTGTGGCCACGCTTTGCACTGAAGACTTGACACTGGGGCCCATGGGGCTGCTGAGATGGTGACGTTTCAGTCGAGACTGGAAGCTGACGCACTTGAGACCCAGGGCCATGTGCAGTGGCTTGCTGGCTTCCCCTGCCCTGGAGATGCCCAGCGGCCACCAGAGTGTGGGTAACTGGGGCAGGCGTAGCTTCTGGCTCCTGCCACTGTTGTGGGCTGGGCCCTGGATTGCTAGGCCTCTTGCATCTGTAAGAGGGAGGGACAAGGCCAGCTGCAGGCAGTGGTGGATGAAACCTGGGTCTTGCCTGCTGCTTGGAAGAGCCTGGTACTGCAGGCTAGGCTTTGTGGCTCGTGGTACATAGAACAGTGGATCTAAGCCAAGCCTGACTGGAGTCATGGGGGCAGAAGGGGCTTAGGCACGTACCCCTGGCACCTGTCACTCCTGGCTAAGGGGCCCACAAGTGTCAAAGTAGGCCTGGCAGCAAAGGTAGCTGTTAGTGGGCAGTGCTGTCTGAAGGGCATGCCTTGAGTTCCTGTGGCAGAGAGCTAGTGTCGGCTGGGCACTGGCCCTGCAGGACCTGCCCCCTGCAGAAGCGGGGGGAATGCTAGTCCTGCTCCTGCCACCCAGAGCCCAGCGGGGCAGCGCGTGACCTTTGGCACCGAGCTCGCATGGGTGGATTCCGCCTGGGATCAGAGAAATGTGTGGAAATGAGAGCAGATAGGGTTACCTCCAGGCGAGATAAGGGCCTGGGCAGTGGCCAGATGGGCTGCTGCATGCCCCACTGTACAAGGACCCACTGGGACGTGGCGCAGAGCGGATGGGGTGGGCTCTTCTCACAGCCCGGGGGCACCAGGAGCACAGTGGGTGGCGCCGAGGGGCGGGTGGTGTGCTTCTTGCCCTCACCTCCTGTCCTCCTTCCCTCCACTGGCCCTGCTGCCTGCTTGGTTAATTCATGTAAAAACATGAATGGTTTGGGTAAAATCCTGAGAATCGCAGAAACTGGTTTGGCAGATTGGTGGGAAAGGGGGATGTTCATGGCCTGAGCCCTTGCTGCGTGATGAGAAAGCGCCCTGTGTTTCTCTCAGTTGCAGGATGTCTGAAGGGGACAGCGTTGGAGATTCTGTCCATGGGAAGCCATCCGTGGTGTACAGATTTTTCACACGCCTGGGACAGGTCAGTGGTTGGTTGCTGTAGAAGGTTGCCGTAAGTATTTAGATAGGAAACTGTCCGCTCCTCGCCTGCCTTCCTGGTGGGCTTGAGTCCAGTGTTGCCCGAAGAGGCACACAGCAGCGGCTGGCTGGGTGCAGGCGCCTGTGCTCCTGGGCAGCTCTGCATGCTCTGCTGTGTGTGTGTGTGTGCGTTTAGCCTTAAAGCACACGGAACCTCATGGTGGTGGCGCAGGCAGGTGCTGTGCTCTGCTCCTGCCGTGCTCCAGCCTCGGAGCCCTCCTGGGAACAGGCCGGGGTGGGACACAGGACAGGACGTGAGACAGGCTGGGGCTGGGCCGGGAGGTGCAGGTCACTGTGCTGGGTCCTGTCTGCAGCCTGCCTGAAGACACTGTGTGCTTAGACTCAGTGAGGAGCAATGGCTGCAGACACTGATATTAGGCTTAATTAAAAATGTGTTTGCTTTGGGGGGCTGGGGTTCTAGCTCAGCGGTTTTAAGTGCCTGGTAAATGCAAGGGCCTGGGTTTGATCTCCGCTAGCGCGGGCTGGGCTGGGCTGGGCTGGGCCGTACCGGCTCCCATGCCTGGGCAGGGTGGCACATGCCTGTAGTCCCGGCCCTGGGGAGACTGAGACAGGAAGATCATTACAAGTCTGAGCTGCATAGTGAGACCGTATACCAAATACATAAATAAAAGATTACAAAAAATTAAAAATATGGCTTTTTTATATTTTCTATTTTGAATATTTTGTTTTGTATTTTTGTGGTATTGGCGATCAAACCCAAAACCTTCACACTGAGTGACCGCCACACCCCCGATCCCATTTTGGTGTTTTGAGACTGCATTTTGCTTTGTAGTGTAGAATGGCACCCTCTTGTCTCAGCCTCCCAACTGCTGGGATTATAGGCATGCACCACTCTCGGCTTTTCTTTTTTTAAATAATTTTTTAAAGTTGAAAAGTAGCATATGCCAACCTATAATACTGAAGCTGTGTAATGAGTTTTCACTGTCTTATGACTGAAAATTTTCATTTTTAAACTTAAAAGATTGTTTTGCTGTTAAAAATTAAAACGTGCATATGTATACATATACACGTGCACATATAAAATGCTGAGGAGTTCCTGAGCGAGCCCTTGGCTGCCGGGGCCCTCTGCACATGGGCGGCGCCCTTACCTGGCTTGAGGGGGGCACAGAGGAGTCCTGGGTGTGAGGGCACGCTGGAGGCCTGCTGCTGCTGTGTGACTCGGAGATGCAGGACTTCTCCACCTCCTCGGAGTGAGCTTGGTCTCCCTGTCGTGGTCCCTCTGCAGTGGCGGTGGAGATGGCACCTGCACCTCACCATGCTGTTGCTGTCACCGCCGGCACCACTGCGCAGGCTGGTGCTGGACCACCGTCCTCTCTGACTGGTAGTTTGTAGTGCTTTCAGTAAAGGGAAGAACCTGCCTGAGGCATTACTGCAAATATGTTCTGGGTTATTTCCGGTCATTGCTTGGTGTCAGGGTTTACCTTTGCTGTTCTTGGGCTCAGCTGCACCTTTCCTACCCTGCCTCCTCAGATTTACCAGTCCTGGCTGGACAAGTCCACACCTTACACGGCTGTGCGGTGGGTGGTGACGCTGGGCCTGAGCTTTGTCTACATGATCAGAGTCTACCTATTACAGGTGAGTTCGCTGCAGCGGGCCCGTGCTACGGAGGTTGGGAGTGGGCTCCAGGCCGGGGCTGCCGTCGCAGTTTATTTTGAAGGAAATGGTATGTAGTGAACACTTTCAGTTCACAAGTGTAGGAAAATTTCATCAATGTTTCTTTTTAATTTTGTGTGTGTGTGTGTGTGTGTGTGTGTGTGTGTGTGTGTGTGGCCAGCTCAGCCCACCAGCTTTCTCAGGAGAGGGGGGACCTCCAAGCCCACTTTAAAGAGGCTTATTTATATAGTTCTTCCTAAGATTGTCATCTTGAACAAGGGTTTCCAACAGGCCCGGGCCAGTCTTTACCTCAGCTTGCGCTCTGCCCGGGTGACAGACCTCTGTCTCTCTGAGCCTACCGTGTGCCTCCCAGCAGAGGTCCCGTCCCAGATAAAGTGATGGGTCCGTGGGCCTTCTGTGCTGCGAACAGTGCTGGCATTGATGGGTTAGGCTTCGTGAGCTGCTCCTCTGGCGTAGCTGATGATGCCTGCGAGGTGGCGATGGGGTGCAGTGTAGGCACAGTCACCCAGGCACCTCTGGTGTCTCCAGGCCCTGCTGTGACACCCACCCATGCTGTGCCTCCCTTCTGGGCACTTGGCCAAGGCTCTTCCCAGGCGGTGAGAAGCACCGGCTCCTGTGGCCTGGGAAGTACGGCTGCCTGAAGCTCTTGCCTGCCTCTTGGCTGTTGTGGAGGTTTAGGGGACATTGGTCCTTGGGCAGCACACCGATTGGCTGGACGGTGTGGCCAGCGTGTGCATGTTCACACTGAATGCCAACGCTCGGGTCTTCGGGTTTGCTTCTGGTCTCTTCAAGAGGCCCAGCTCTGGTTCAGTGTGGAGGAGGTGGCAGCTCTGTGGCTGTCACAGCAGGGACAGTTTGTACAGAGGGTCTGAAATTAGTGTGGACAATTCTTGTGAGTTGGGACTTGGTCCATTTGCTAATGCGGACTGGCCTGGCAACTCGGAGTTAGGGGCGTGGCTGGGCAGGTGTGACAAGCAGTTTCACTCTCCTGAGCCTGGCCTGCCCTGCAGCAAGCGTGACGACACGTGTGCATTAGTTAATGTTCCACCTGAGGTTTTAGTCCCCTGGCTTGAGTACTTTCAGGCAAGAAGGTTTCCTCTTAAACTCGCCTGAGCAGGCACAGACTTGAGATTGACAGTTCACTTGTGGGGTGTGGGGGAAGTGGGCTTGGAGGTCCCCCTCTCCTGAGAAAGCTTCAGTCCCGAGGCCCTGGCCCTCTTCTCCTGGGCAGAGTCTGGTCTGGTGATGGATGACAGTTCCTGAGGATGACCAGCCATGCTGTGTACAGCAACAGCTGCGATTCTGCTTTGATGCTGTGGGGGCGTTGGCAGGCTGGGGGGCAGGAGCAGCAGCTCCCCTGCTGCCTCGCACTAAGCCCTGAAGTGGTGGTTTGCTTGCGATTTGGCTCCGCTGCCTCCTGGCCAGGAGCCCAGGCTTCAGGTGTCGCATGGCCAACTGGACTGTCAGAGGAGTTTGCTGCAGACCCTGAGCGGTCCCTGTGGCACTGAGACCCACAGAGTGCCTTGGAGGCATGGTCACTGTGGGTGTGTCTTTGCTTGCTGTCATGGAAGCCACAGCCTCCGTGTGGCTCTAGAGTGAGCCTTGCGCCCTGCAGCTCCTGGTGTCCTGCTGTGGCCTGGGGAGCTTCTGCTGGCAGTGGCAGTGCTGCTCACTGCGTTCACCTCTTCTCTTCCAGGGCTGGTACATCGTGACCTATGCCCTGGGGATCTACCACCTCAACCTCTTCATAGCGTTCCTATCTCCCAAGGTGGACCCCTCCCTGATGGAAGACTCAGGTACCACATCTAGCCTTGTGCCGCTGGGAGGGCTGTGCATCCCCCGTGATGAGGAAACTGAGGTGCATGGGCTCCCTGACTTGTCTGAGGTCGTGTCACAGATGACAGGATGCTTGGCCGCTGAGTCTGTCACAGGCAGCCCTGTGAGACCTGTCCTTGTGGCACTCAAGGGTCACCCCCACACTTCCCCTCCTAGGGGTTTGCACATGCAGCCCACCGTGGCCGCCACCACAGGCCACTGGCACCTGACTGCCGCTGGCTAGGCCAGCTCCAAGTTCTTGGGAGTTGAGGTGGTGTTGGTGTTTGTGTACCCTGGGCCAGTCAGTGACGCTAGAGAGCAGTCAGCCACCGTCCCGGGCCTGCGTGGGCCCACTCAGGCCCTGTTGCTGAGCCGTCATGAGCAGTGCTGTTTTTAAACTTTTCAAATTGGATGAGCAGAAGCCTGTGGAAACTAGTGGGAGGCCCCTCTGGGCAGTCTGGAAGGGAACCAGGGACCCTTGCTGCGGGCCTGCGCTGCTCTGGGTGGGTGGGCGGGTGTGGTCGCCGCGCTGAGCCTCCTGTACACCATGTTGGGATGGGCCGCGGCCCTGCCGCTCCTCCAAGTGTGCTGTGGACAGCGTGTCCTGCTCCGTGAGCCTGCACAGAGCAGTGGATCAGAAATCTGTGCAGCTGAATTTTGTTTACTCATCTAAAAGGTCCAAGAAACTTTTTAGAAAGAAAAGTGAGTCAGGTTTTGTAAAGCCTCAAGTTGATTTGTCAGTTGGCTGCAGACCTGTTTTACGTTTGGTTACGGGAGACAGGCCGAGTTTCCCCCACGAGGCCTGCCAGCTCAGAGGCTCTTGGGAGCTCCTAGGCACTGGGAGAGGTGAGAAGCTGAGTGGGACACAAAGCCCGGCGAGAGAGCTGGGGGAGCGCGGGTTGTGACTGACGCCCTGCTCTCCAGATGACGGTCCTTCATTGCCAACCAAACAGAATGAGGAATTTCGTCCCTTCATTCGAAGGCTTCCGGAGTTTAAGTTTTGGTGAGTTGCTTCTTTCTTTTATTAAACTTATAAACGGGTTTAATTTTTACCTGACCCCTAATGATCCTGCATGTTTATGGGGCACGGTGTGACGCTGCCGTCCCTGTGCACAGTGTGTCTGTCTCCGTGCTTGCTGTTCCTCTGTGCTGGGCATGTCAGATGTCGAGCTCCCATCTGACCACACCTGTAATTTTTTGAGGCATTTGTCGGAAGTGCCTGTATTCAGGTGTGGCCAGTCCTGGGGACAGGTTAATTCTTGTTCTGGTCAGCAAACAATTGAAACTTGTTAAACAGGAGGGGTTTTGTTGTGGAGACCCTGGGCTGGGGTGTGCTGTGAGCTTGGGGAGCCCACCCAGGGCACCGTCCAGTGGTCGAGGTTTGGGGAAGAGCACTGCCAGCCTCTTCCAGACACGGGTCAGGAAGGCAGGTACAGGCAGCCTCTGGCCAGCAGGTGTGGCCCAGCTTTGCGTCTGGGCCCTTGGGGCACGTGTGTCCTACGCAGGGCCCGCCCTTGGGGCTTTGTCCTCCTGCAGACCAGACTTCAGCAGGGGCAGGAACAGGGTGAGAGCAGCGGGGATGGCTCCTCAGCCCCCGCCTGGCCAGGGCCTTGCACTGTGGCCTCCTGCCCGTGGCTGCGGCCCCACCTTGGTGCCGGGGGAACAGTTCCGGCTTGGTTCTGAGCTGAGCAGGCCGGATTCCTGGAGCTGTGCTGTGAGACGGGAGACCGGGCGTCGAGGCTGGGGCAGGGTGGGCTCCGTTGTGCTGGAGATGGAGGCTTTGGGGTTCAGGCGGAGGCCGGGGTCTGGGTCTGAAACTGAGGTGACGCCAAAGGGCTGCAGTGTGGGTATCCACACTCTTGTGGGTTCAGGATGAGGTAGCTCTCAGCGGACTAAGGTGTAGTGCTGTGGTGGCCTCAAGGCCCCACGCTGCTCCCCAGCGGGGCTGCAGTTCTGTGATGCTTACGTGGGGGCAGAGGGGGGAGCCGCCAGGGTCCGAAGCGGGCCCGGAGGGACCAGTGCCTGCCCAAGCGGGTGGCGCCACCTTCTGCCCTTGCCCCAAGGCACGCGGCGACGAAGGGCATCCTCGTGGCCATGGTCTGCACCTTCTTCGAGGCCTTCAATGTGCCGGTGTTCTGGCCGATCCTGGTGATGTACTTCATCATGCTGTTCTGTATCACGATGAAAAGGCAGATAAAGGTAGGGCGGGGCGGGGGC